GAAGTGGAAAGTCAGAAAGTAAACAAGATTGAAAAATAGGTCAGATAGGTATAGAACCTTATAGACTGTAGCTGTCCAATGGCAGTATAGTGTGAACTACATACATATTTTTTTATTTTCTTGTATTCACATTAGAAAAAGTAAAAGAAACAGGTGAAATTAATTTTTAATAAACCTTTTAGTTTGGAATGTTTTTGGATTTACAAAAAGGTTGTAAAGATAGGACAGACCTTTTCCACTTACCATTACCTATTTTTTTTTCTACTGTTACTATTTTACATTACCATGGTATGTTTGTCAAAACTAAGAAACCAACATTGGTGCATTACTATTTGTGTTAGACTGGGTTCTCTAGAGAAGGAAAACCAGTAAAGCTTATATATACATATAGAGAAAAAGAAATTTGTCTTAGGAAAATGGCTCACACACTTATAGAAGCTGGCAAGTCCAAAGTTCCTGCATCAAATGGCAAGCTGGAGGCTTTTCCCAACTCACGCAGCTTCAGGGGCTGACAAGCTCAAGGTTGGAAGGCAGTATACCAGCTGTTGACTCCAAGATCTCCAGACTAAATGGTGGATTGTTTGCTCACAGACAGTTGTAGGCAGCACAACAGGATCCCGATCCACAGAAGAGTGTCTCTTCTCCCAGCATGTCCATAAATATATTGGAAGCAGGCCACACACCTAGGGAAACTCCCTTTCAACCGATTGGCTGCTCAAAACATATACATCCGATCCCATCATGGGAATAACTCACATCACAATCACTTAAACCACACAGAATTGTGGTCCAGCCAAGTTGACACACAGCTCCAACTATCACACTATTAATTAAATTCCAGACTTTATTTGGATATCACTAGTTTTTCCATTAACGTTCTCTTTCTGTTCAAGAATCCAGTCCAGGGTACCACATTGCATTTAACTGTCATTTCTTATTAGTCTGCTCTGGTCTGTTACAAGGTGAAATTAATTTTAATGCTGTATTTTAGTGAACCCAATATATCCAAAATATCATTTCAACATGTAACCAATATTTTCAAGTTATTAATGTTTTACATTATTTTTTATACAAGTCTTAAAACTCCAGTGTGTATTTTACACTTACATCAAATTTGGATCCTTTTATGGCAAGTACTTAATTTATATTTAGATTTCATAAAATTTACAATTTAAAAAGTAGATGCACATGCTCAAGTTGTTCCAAACATACTTAACAGTTTTCTAATAACTACTCCAAGTATCATTTTTAAAATTTCAATTAATTAAAATTAATTAAGTTAAAAATTCAATTCCTCAGTAGACACATTTCAACTGTTCATATCCACATGGGTCTAATGGCCACCATATTGGACAGTGCAGCTCTGGACCATTCTAAGGATTTTTGGCTTTTATTGTGAGAAAAAGGGGGATCACTGAAGGGTTTTGAGCAAAGGAGTAACATAATCCTATTTAACATTACTCTGCTGAGCTGAGAATAAATTAAGGTAAGGCAAAGGCAGAAGCAGGGAAACAAGTCAGGCAAACAAAGCAGTAATCCAGGTGAGTGATGGTGTTTTGGATTATGGTGGTAGCAGTGGATGTGGGGAGAAGAGATGAGATTCCAGGTTATCTTGTGTTAGAGCTGAGTCAATCCAGTAATGGACTGGATATGGGATTCAATAAAGTTATATTTTATACAGAAGGAGAAGCAGGTATTTGGAAAAAGTACACGGGCTCAGTGTTTGCACATTCTGAGTTTAAGATGCTATCTTAATTCACTATATAACTATAACAGAATTTCACAAGCGGGTGGATTTGAAGAAGAGAATTTTATTTTCTCAGTGTTCTGGAGGGTCAAAGTCCAAATCAGGGTCTTGGCCATGTTCGTTGCTTCTTTGTCAATAACCCTGGGCATTCCTTAGTTCCTTGGCATCCCTCACATAGCATATTTTCCTGTGTTTGTGTATGTGTGCATGCACAAACACTTGTCCCTCTGTGTCTAATGTGCTCTTTGCACACCTCATAAGTGATTTAGAACCTATCCTACTGGGGTATCATCTAATTAACATAACAAAGATAATCATACTTCCAAGACAGGATTACATCCACAAAATAGGATTCCAACATATATATTTAGGGGAAGCAATTCAATACAAAACAAATGCCTATTAGGTATTTAAGTGGAGAAGTTACCTAGATGGTGGATCTATGAGGCTGGAGTTCAGGGGAGATAGCTTAGCTGGGGTTAAAAATTTGGAGTCCTCAGCATAGAGATGCTATTTAAAGATACAAGACTGGAAGAGACCACCAAAAAAGAGTAAGTGTAAGGAAAGGAGTATTGAGATAAGGTTATTCAGCAGTAGTATTTTCAGGAAAATGCAGATTTTGAAATCAGGACCCAAAGAGATCAACAGGAATTGATGGAATAATGAATTCCTTCCAAGTAAAATTAGTGCTAGATGCAAAGGTGCAGAGATGGGGATAAACCAACCACGTTATAGCAAAGTTTTTGCTCCACTGAAGAAAAAATAGGAGCTCTGGTGGCATAGTGCCTAAGGCATTTGACTGCTAACCAGAAGGCTGGCAGTTCAAACCAACCAGCCACTCCTTGGAAGGAAGGTTGGGCAATCTACTTCCCTAGTGATACTGCCTGGGAAACCAAAGGAGAGGCCACTATGAGTCAGATCCGACTCCACGGCAGTGAGTTTGGTTTTATTTCTGAAGCAAAAATACAAAGCTAGCAGATATGGAAACATGCCAGAAGTGATGAAAGGTTCTCATGCTGACCGGTGGCTAGCCAGAGCTGAGAATGGAAGGGTGGTAAGGAAAGCTTGTGAATTAACGAATGGCAGCTGCAGTTTCCTGCACATACAAAGCCAACCAACCTGCCCTAACATACAGCCCATGTCATAATACTGGCACAAGAGAGGAATCTCCTCTCTTCTGCATATGAAAAAGACAGGAACCAGGAACGAGCATTGTCCTAGACCACGTAGGCCCTTAGGAACAGAGTCCTGCACCAGCTCAGCTTACTGGGAGGTGCTCTTTCCATAAAGAAGTCTGAGCCCTTATCTGGGGCACACCTGTGGAGGGCTGATGAGTTCAGGCAAGAAAATCTGAATTTTGCACATAATTTTGACAAAGGGGAGGGCCCGGCTTGACGATGAAGCAAAAAGTCATTTAAGGATAGGGAAGGGCGTAAGTGAAAGTTTAAGGACAAAAAGCATTAAAATTTTGAGCCGGTGGCAGGGTTAAACGTAGCTCTGTGAAAGATCCTTTCCTGCCACACCCTCCCTAAGGCAGAACTAAGGTGGCAGTAGGGGTGAAGGACCAAATCGCAGTGCATCTTTTAGGTCTTCATGCTAGAAGACTACTATCATCATTAAGAGCAGCCGTCCTCGGTATTGTTTTTGTCAGCTGGGTAGCTCCGCCCGAGAGTGGCTCTCTCCCTGCTAAAAATCCGGCCTGGTTCAACCGGAAGGTGCATGAATATCCGCCAAATGGCGCCTAGACAACGCCCAAGAAGAGGTAACATTGCAACTCTTCGGGGGCCGCCCAGGCAGATCGCCTCCGGGAGCGGGAGTGGCCAACAGCGGGGGGGGGGGGGGGGCGGGTCCGATGCACACGCGCCAATCGAGACGGACGCTTTCACGTGACTTGCTCAGCCAACAGGAAGCCGCGGCGACAACGGCGGAGAAATTCAAACCTGCTTGTGCATGGGGGCTTGGGTTCCATCTTTTATTATCCTTATTTCTCCTTCCTGGCCATGAGTTCTGCCTCGCGGATGCACGGAGGAACGGCGGCGGCCGGTATGTGGGATTTTTGGCGGCGCGGGTCGGTGAGGCATGGGAGCGAGATAGAGGTGGTTCGGGGTCGAGCAGGACACGTAGGACGCGGCTAAACCAGCTGGAGGGGGAAGGGAGGTTTCACTGCCTTCTCCCTGTGTATAGGTGGGTGCGGGAGATTTTGTTGAGGACCTCGGAAGCTAGAGGTGGGAATGGACTAGGTTGCGGAGAGGGCTTCAGCAGGACACCTGGAGAGAAGCTAGGGAAAATGAATCCTCTTCCAAAAGACCCTGTGTGTCAGGTTTGGAAGGTGCTCTGGTGGGTAGCGAGTTTGGTTTTTGGTTATCAGGTTTAGTGGGGTTAGAACGGGGAGAGGAAGTGCTGGGCGTGTTTTGACAGCTTTAGAATCTGACTCCCAAGGAGGGATGTGGTTGGTTTTTTTTTTTTTTTTTTTTTGGCCCAGGTTTATCGCCATTTTTTCTTTGGGCGGTCAGTGACTTGGGTTATTAGGTTCTTGTTTGAGAATCGCAGTGATGAGATTGAGAGGAAGGAAGACTGGAGACCTCTGAGTGACCAAACATCACGACTGTGCAGAAGTGCACGATACTATACGAGTACGGTAGATTCATTGTGTTAGGATGATTAAGATGGTAAATCATGGTTCTCCCAGGTATGCACAGGAACAAACCCATGAAACACCGTTTATCGACAGGGTGCTGTGATGGTGTATTATGCTCCGCTTTGGAAGCGCTCCTGATGTAAATAAAGATTTATTCGCATAAAGCAGATGAGTAAAATAATGGTTATTCTAACTACCAGAAGGATTCTTTATTTCTGTGTAATTGCTGAATCCAAGGAAATGGCCTATCACGTTTTTTAAAAATAACTGAATTACAGATAAATGGCCCAAGAAAATAATTTTGGAAACTGAATGGAATTTAATGAGTAGAAGAAAATTTGAAAATTTAAAGGCCAGCAATGTCTGTTGTGCAATGGCTGAAGTTTTATTGGGAGGAAAAAGCATATATACATAGTCTATCTGGAAAGAAGTATTGTTTTTTTGTGTGCATAACTACATGAATACTATCCAGATAATATCTGAGTTTACATGTTTTTATAAAAGTAATACTTTAGAACCTTCTGCATTCTAAAAGTCTAGTTGCATCCTTTTCCCCCCATTGGTGGTAGTGTAAATGAGAATTATGACTAAGTTCAGTGTTTCTTTTCTTTAGAAATGGAGGCTGAGGATTTAAGTGGCAGAGAATTGACAATTGATTCTATAATGAATAAAGTGAGAGATATTAAGAATAAATTTAAAAATGAAGATCTCACTGATGAGCTAAGCTTGAGTAAAGTCTCTGCTGATACGACAGGTGAGTTTTTCTTTCAAAGTAATAACTATGTTGAGTGCCCTCTATATCAAACGCCATGTTAATCACTCTGTGTCAAATAATGTAATTTTCTTAGTGATTGATGGCTACCTACTAGAGTACCAACTTTATATTTTAACGGGTTGTGCAGAAATACTCCACAATTTTCCACTCTTTTTCAGAAGGAAATTTACAATTATTTATTACAATGTGCTTAGAGGTGGTTTTCTTAATTCTTCCATTATTGTTAGCTGTCAATAGATAAACCTCTCTCTGTCTCCCATTTTGTGCTGGAAACAGAGAAAGCTCACAAATATTAATAAAATTATATATAAATGTGAAGGCACATGTACCCTTTTGATTTGGAGAATGTTTCTTTTACTCACCTACCCTTTTTTCCTTTCTCACTCTGCTCCAAGCCACAGTGATTTTCCTGAAGTCTTTTTATCCCAAGGCCTTTACCCTTGCCCTCTGCTGGAACACTGCTCCTGAGCTATCTGCCTACTCTCTCAGCTCCTGCAGGTCTTTGTTCAAATGTCTCTCTGGAGGCCTTCCTTCACCTACTTATTTAAAATAGCAACTTTCAGAAGTGGGGGTGGGTTCCCTATCTTTGTTCCCTGTATTTTTCTCCATATCATTGATCACCTTATATATCATTTACTCCTGTGTTTGCATATTGTCTGTCTCCTCTCCTAGAATGTGAGCTCCATGAGGGCAGGGTTGTTATATGCTTTGTTCACTTTTATTGCCACAGAGATCAGAATGGTACCTGGCACTGAAATATGTATTAAATGATGAATGAGTGGACATGCCCAAAGTTTAATACTCTTGCTTTGTGGAAGATACTACCTCAGAAGCCTAATTCTTTAGTGCATTTCAAATTGTTAAAAGTGACTTTTGGATAAATTTGTTATTTCTATACTAACCATTGAATGGGTGAGGGATTAAAAATAAATGGAAAAACCTGTAATCCAATCGAGTTTACTGACCACTTTCCCTTGAAACAACCTAGAAACTGATACTTTCGGTGTTAAGCAAAGTCTTAATACTTTAATATATGTAGTCAAGTAGCTTTAGCAAAGTTTGTATGCCAAGATAATGAGTCCATTATTTATACCTCATCTGTCCTTAACCAGTTGCTGTTGGGTTGATTCTGACTCATAGTGACCCCCATGTGTGTCAGAGTAGAAATGTGCTCCGTAGGGTTTAATGATTGATTTTTTTGGAAGTAGATCACTAGAATTTTCTTCCTAGGGGCCTTTAGGTGGATTCAAAGCATAGTCTTTCAGTTAGCAACCAAGAGTGTTAACTGTTTGTGCCACGTAAGGACTCCTGTTGATCCTTGTTGTTCTTAGGTTCCGTAGAGTCAATTTCAACTCATAGCAACCCCAAAACTTATCATATATTAATAATCACGATTGAAGACTATGAAGTATTGAGGAAGACTAAAAGATAGTTTTCTTTCTAGATAAGGAGAATTTATGTATTTTCTCTGCTACATTGCTGGACATCATATGAGCACTTACACAGTAAAGATACAAATGCTGTAAGTGTCTAATAGAAGAAGAATGAGATTACTTAGAGGCATCAAGAATGCATCTAGAAAGACACAGATGAGGAAATGCCTTTTGTAGATATCTTGCAGACTAATTTGTTACGAAAGCAATAGGAGGCAAAACTGGAAATTAAGATCAGACTACAATAAATATAAAATGAAAGGGTAAAGTTGTGAATGTGCTTTGGTAGAAAGCAGCAACAGTAATTTAACCGTCATTAAAGTTAACTGAAACTAACAAACAAGAAGGAATGATAGTTGCTGTGAGAAATCTGAGTTAATGATATTTATAAACAACTAAAATATCCCGAACAGGAGACTGATAGTTTGTATTGTCTTTAAAACAGTTAATGCTGTAGGAAATAAGACAGACTTTGGTGATGGATGAATGTGGATAGTAGGATCAAGTCGAGGATAAAGAAAAAGCTGTGAGTTTGTGGGACTAGGAAATTGGCAGGGCCTCTGAGACAATGAAAGAGCCCTGGTGGCACAGTGGTTAAGTGCTTAGCTGCGAACCAGAAGGTCAGTGGTTTGAACCGACCAGCCACGTTGCAAGAGGAAGATGTAGCAGTCTACTTCCTTAAAGATTATAGCGTGGGAAACCTTACGGGACAATTCTGCTCTGTCCTGTGAGAGTCGCTGTGAGTTGAAATCGGCTCACTGGCAGTGGGGTTTGATCTAAGAGAAATGTAACCTGGGGACAGAATTAAATGATCATATGAATTGCTTATACACACTTGTAAAACTTTTTTTGTTCCTAAAACAAGTTGGAGATGATATGGAGATAATGTTGTGTGGATGAGTTTGTAAAGGTTATGTTGGGTCCAGAGCAATAAGGTTCTAAAATTACATGCATGAAGAATTTTCTAAGAAATTTGATATAGGTGATGAGAGGGTCTCAGATTTTCTTTGCATAGTTAGGGTACAAAACAATATTATGCTGTGACAGCATAAAATTTTCTTAACTCTTTATAAAATTTAAGTATAATGTTTTTGTTCTGGCTTTTAAGACCCTCTATCTCACCTTCATGCTTTTTTTTTTTTAAATTTGAGAAGGCTGGCGGTTCAAACCCACCAGCCACTCCTCGGAAGGAATCTACTTCCGTAGTGATATTACCTCGGAAACCCAAGGAGGGGTCGCTATGAGTCGGGTCCGACTCCACGACACATAACAACAACAACAACAATGTCTTATCAACACCACTACCCAATTTTTTGCATCTTTAGAATACATAGATATTGAAAATCTCAAATTATATATGGCTTTTTTAAAAGCTGGAAGCCAAGCTGGAGTGGGTTCAATTCCGGACCTGAAGGGCAGCTAAGGGCCATAGTCTCAGGCCATAGTATCCAAGAGTCACCAGGCTCTTGCAGACCAGTAAACCTGGTCCCTTTTTTTATGACTTTGAGTTTTGTTCCACATTGTTCTCCATCCCTATCCAGTATCTTGTGCATAGATTCCCCTCTAAGTGGTAGCCTGGCACTAGGAAGAATTTTAAAAAATAATATATTGGCATTTAATTTTAATTTAATTTAATTTTTACTTGTAAAAAGTCTATTTCCAAACTTTGTTTCCTTTAAAAAACAGCTTTTTGTTAAAAAAAAAAATGCCCTCATAAAAGATATGTTTGCAGCAATAAAGTGGCTTATATGTGTATGAATCGTTAAAAGTTTTTAAAAAGTATTTTGAGGAGTTTACCTTGATACTGAGACTTATTATAAATACTTTATTTTGAGGGAATAGTGTTTTATGTCTTGCTTCTGTTGTGATATATTTTTTCCCCTTCTTTATTCAGATAACTCAGGAACTGAAAACCAAATTATGATGATGGCAAATAACCCAGAGGACTGGTTGAGTTTGTTGCTCAAACTAGAGAAAAACAGTGTTCCCCTAAATGACGCCCTTTTAAATAAATTGATTGGTCGTTACAGTCAAGCAATTGAATCACTTCCTCCAGATAAATATGGCCAAAATGAGAGTTTTGCTCGAATTCAAGTGAGATTTGCTGAATTGAAAGCGTAAGTATTGGTAGTTTAACATTTAACTAATTATATTACATGACAGCTACATTATAATGAGACAATTTGAAAACATATTGTCAAGATTCCTTGTAAGAAAAAAAAATAGAATATGTATGTATTTATTTATTTATTACTAAATCCTTTCCTTATAATTAACATGAGATTAATGTACACTTTCCTTATTTTGTACATGGTTCCACAAAAGTTACATATTCTAAACTCTGCCAAGAAAGAGTTTTGTTTTGTTTTGTTTTTTAAATTTTATTGTGATTTGGGTGAAAGTTTACAGAGCAAATTCGTCTTCCATACAGCAGTTCACATACACTTTGTCTCATGACATTGACTGTAATCTTCCACAGTGCAACAGCTGTCCTCTCACTTCCTCCCCATAGACACCTCTTCCATGTGTCCTTCCCTCCCATGCAATCTTGCCCCCTGAGCTATCTTCCTGTGCATACACAGCCGTTCTATTATTCTATGATTGGTATCTTCAAGGAGTGTATCTACCTAATGTAAACGTTCAGCTCATATACTTGTCTTTTGTTGGGCTGGAAGCCAAGCTGGAGTGGGTTCAGTTCCGGACCTGAAGGGCAGCTGGGGGCCATAGTCTCAGGCCATAGTCTCCAAGAGTCACCAGACTCTTGCAGACCAGTAAACCTGGTTCCTTTTTTTTTTTTTCTTTTTTTATGATTTTGAGTTTTGTTCCACATTGTTCTCCAACCCTATCCAGGATCTTGTACATAGATTCCCCTCTGAATGGTAGCCTGGAATTAGGAAAAATTTAAAAAATAATATTTTGGCATTTAATTTTATACACAAAGAGAAGCAGCATCCCATGTCTTTTGGAAAATAGGGTGAGGAGTTAAGAAACTTAGCGCCATCCTTTTTCTTAAAATTTGACTCTGAAATCTTTACTACAATATTTTGCAGTATTCAAGAGCCAGATGATGCACGTGACTACTTTCAGATGGCCAGAGCAAACTGCAAGAAATTTGCTTTTGTGCATATATCTTTTGCACAGTTTGAACTATCACAAGGTAAATCTGAAAATATCAATTCCAAATTTTAAGTACAAGATAATTTCCCACATAACTTGTATTGTAATATTGAATATATAAAGTAGAAATTTGAGATAAAACACATTAAAGTTGATCATATAAAAATATGAGGGAATAATTCCACCTAAGGTTAAATGCAAAGAATATTTGTTACACTCGCTCCTCCATTTATTAGGTGTAATAAAGGGAAATAAAGAATTCACATCATGTTTGTATCATTAGATTAAAGAAGTGACTAAATATATATTTATAAGTAGCTTTTTTACTGAGTAATGGTGGCATGAAGGACATAAATTACTCAAGCTAGAGCTTAGATAAGCTTTTTTTATGCCTTGGTTTCATAGCACTAAAATATAAATTAAAATATAGCATTAATTGGTAGTTGTCCTTTAAAAAAAAGTAAACTATTATAAAAGCTTGTGTTACTTGGTCACTTGGTTCTTAGGAATCTGGACCTTTTGGGTAGGACCAGAGTAATCTTTTTCAGACATTTTTAGTTAGCTTGGCCATTCCTTAGTCTTCTCTTTATCCTATTTGTTTACTGAGGCATCTGGCTCTACCCTTGGTCTGCCCTCTGACCATGCGTTTCTGTTTTCCCTCTGCCTTGTTCTGTCTCATCCCTGATCCCATTTGCCACCAGTGATGATATACATTGTCACAATCACTGTGGCTCAGCCAGAATCCCCATGATGGTGGCCAAAGCAAGCCTCAGTCACTGGAGGGTAGTCCCTGGGACTGAAGTTGGAGAAAAGCATTGTACAGGCTTTGAGAACCTTGACTTCTACCTACTCAAATAATACCCTAATTCTGTTGTTGTTGTTGTTATTTGCCATCGAGTCGGCCCTGACTCATAGCGACCCCTCCTTGGGTTTCCAAGGCAGTATCACTACGGAAGTAGGAATGCCCAACCTTCCTTCCG